ATATATATATATATATATATATATATATATATATATATTTTAAGCTGTGTCAATGGCCAAATTGTTGATTCGCCAAATCAGCATCAAATCTTCAGATTCGGATTCGGCTGAATCAAATCAGGGACAGTGATCCAAATCAACAAATCAAATCACTGTCCCCGATTCAGGCCAAATCTGAATCAAATAATGCCCATTTCGCACACCGTTAATCATGTCTGCACACGAGCTGAGGCAAACTGCACTGCAGTTATACAAGTGGTGAAATGTGTGTCAGCACACAGAAAATGGTGGTGGTGCACTTTTGAACTAAAGCACCTCTGAGAAACTTTAGTTCTTAAGTGTGCCACCACCATTTTTTTAGCACTGATGCGTATTTCACCACTTATACAACTGCATGCATTGCAGCACCGGGCGCTGCAATGCATACATGTGAAAAACAGCCCTTAAGCAGAAACTGGTAAAAAAGAGTGCATCTGCACATGCACTTTACTTCAGAATAGACTACTTTAGTCTATAGTAAAGCATTATGGTCTTCACTTGTGCTGGTATTAGAGTGCAGTAAACTAATTAACTCCAGCATAGGCTAATACTGTGGGGGACAGTACTATCTGATGGTGGAATACTTTACTGTACCAAAACACACATGTAGATGGTGACTGGGGCCATACATTGCACCTGGTCAGCCCAGCCAGCCAAGGGCCTGCTCTATCTCGGCTCAAATTGCCACTGTCCTGGGTGCACATGTAAACACTGCACTGGGGAGCAGTTAACTCTGGCGTGAACTGCCTCAGAGTTTATTGCATTGTATTAATTTCACATGTGGATGGACCCAATGAAAGTTAATTGTCACGGGGCAGAGGATATTCAAGAAGTTGGGAATATAAGTTTGTCCTGGACTTTTTACCCTGTTACTGTTGGAGCCTGCAATAAAGTTCAGGCTCAAATGGCCGGAAGTCTGTTGTTCACCCTGAAACTATTTATCTTGTCCCATTATATCATACTACATATGGTGAGGAACCTCTGAAAATGTAAGGAGATGGCTCCTGAGAGTGGCTCATCAACAGGGATCCAGGTTTTCTATTTGCCAAGTGCGCATTTTCTCCTTTAAAAGTGAAAAACACAGGAAATCATGGACTTCCAGCCTGCAAGGGGTTGTGGGGGAGTGGGTTGCAGGGGGTGCTACATGCATACGTAACCGTGCACATGGCCAGCAGTACAACCAGACAGTGATGGAGAGCAGCACCCCTTGCTGCCTGCAGATAAGTCTGTGTGGGGGGAGGTATAGGTGATCCATTTGGGGGCCAGATTAAGGCAGCTATGGTGAGGGAGGGGGTAGGATAGGGTTAGCAGCTGCAGCTTGGGCTGGGGGCACTGCCCAGCCGGGGCAGTGTCCTGGAGGCCAGGGAGCAGGACAGAGCTATGTGTGGCTTGTCTGGGGGAGGTGGCAAGGGCGGGGCGGAGCTGGCTCACAGGTGAGGGATGGCAGCT